CGATCGGCGCAAGGATGGTGCTCAAGTGAGAAGCACCTCTTCAATGAGGACATTGGAGGCTCAGAGCCTGGGAGAGGCTGCAAACACGGTGTTCGATTCGCCGGGTGGCGCCCGGATCACTTTTTCTGCGTCTGGTGACCGGCAAGGCCAAAACTATTGGGGAATTCCTGTTAGTGCCATGTTGGGGATCTACATGGAACAAAATACGGTTTCGAAACTGCACCTCACTGGAATCTCCCTGGAAGGCGATGTGTACGCCAATGCGGACATCGAACTGTTTGCTGTGAACATCCCGGGGACATTGAGTACGCCCAGCCCGGTACAGATTCAGCCGGAGGATAAGAGGTTTCAATTTGGTTATGGAGACCCTTCCCTCTTGGGTCGGATGGACAACCCCCGGACGAAGGAATTGACGTCTGCTGAGTTTAGCGCACTGGCTCAGGATAGCAGCATTTTTGAAGCCTCGTTGCACAGCGACAAGTCTAGTCGTGCTGTGGTTTGTGAGGCCAAGGGTACTGGGGTGAAGCCTATCTGTCACCAGAGTGGCAGGGCTACGATGCTGCTTTCTAAGCGATCCGTTGACTCGTCTACGGCATATCACGTCTGGAAGATGTCGGCCAGGTGGTACTGGCGTGTGAACCATTCGCTCAGCTTGTCAGCCGTGAAGGAGAAGAACGGTGTTGTGTTGGACTACAACTCTGTCTTGTTTATGGGTGTGCGCCCGACTACGGAGACTACCCTCCATGGTGTAAAGAGCGAGGGCGGTGGCAACACTGGAGCGTTCGGATACCTGGAAAGTTTCCGTGTTACTTTATATTTGCGGCGGGGGATGATTTGAAGCGTTAAATTAGTTTGCATGTAGTCTAGAAACGGAGCGATTTGGCTTTGCAATTGAGTTACTCGTCTAAAGTAAGAACGTGCTGAACTGTGATCTTGATATGGTACGGGGTGCCGCCCTCATCTCATCAGCGGCGTGGGCTTTATGTAGTCACATGTGTTGACAGGGTTAACGCTGCATCGCCTGCTTGACACCCTCAAACGAAGGAAGCAATGCTTAAGTTCCACGCTACCGTATCCGGTGCTACAGGGATTCGACGAAAGGCTGCCTCGGCATCAGCAGCATAGTCGTCAGCCAAGGGAAAAGGAGGCCGTGGACGACATATGAAGACGCTCGAGAGTCGCTCAAGCCGTCTGTCGGGGGTCGTGCGCATCTGCTGCTCTTCATCGCAATGTCTGCTGGCGACATACGTTACAGCCTAGTTGACTCGGCAGAATCGATGTCCAATCTACTCACGTTAATACAGAATCTTCCGCTCGGTCTACCGTCGCTCTTTTTAGACCTGGAAGGCGTGAGTCTCTCTCGGAATGGCTCCATTTCACTGATTACCGTCTTTGTTCTGCCCCGAAGTCACGTCTACCTCGTCGACATCCACACCATGCAGTCTACAGCATTCTCGACCGCGGTTGGAGGAACAACCTTCAAACACATTCTTGAGTCTCCGGACATCACCAAAGTCTTTTTCGATGTCCGCAATGATTCTGACGCCTTGTTTCATCACTTCCAAGTGAAGCTGAGCGGCATCGAAGACGTGCAGCTGATGGAGAACGCAGCTCGCCCGGGCGGGCGACGGCGATATCTGAATGGATTGGATAAGCGTATCGCATCGTACGCACCTTTGTCACCCGAGGAGAAGGCTCGCTGGAAGGCCGCCAAAGAAGCCGGGCTCAATCTGTTCCATCCTAGAAGAGGAGGATCATACGAAGTCTTCAACTCGCGACCGATGTCTACACCCATCGGAATCTACTGCATCAACGACGTGCGATATCTGCCCCACTTGAGGGAGGCATTGTGGCCGCAGCTTGATGATGTCTGGCGGCAGAAAGTGGGGGAGGAGACAAAGAAACGTATCTTGGAATCGCAGAGCCCATTTTACGAGCCGCAGTCGGAGACTAAAAAGTTTGGGCCATGGGGTAGAGCTTGAGTCTATCAGGAACTAATGTACTTCTTTCGACGAATGCTGTCGGAATTGCCAACCATGCCGTCGTTCCGGAACGAGCTATG